TTTCAAAAATAACATTTAATATATTTTGTTTCTTTTTTTTGAGACGAGCTCTTGCTCTGTCATCCAGGCTGGAGTGCAGTGGCATGATCTTACCTTACTACAGCCTTAACCTACTGGGTGCAAGCAATCTTTCCACCTCAGCCTCCCAAGTAGCTGGGACTACAGGTGTATATGCTGACACATCTGGCTTATTTTTGTATTTTTTCTAGAGATGGGGTTTTGCCATGTTGCCCAGGCTGGTGTTGAACTCCTGGGCTCAAGCGACCTTCCCACCTTGACCTCCTGGGATTACAGGCAGTATTTCATTTCTTTTTATGCCCAAATAATATTCTGTTGTACAGATCTACTATGTTTTATTTATCAATTCATAGTGATACATTTGAGTTTTGTTTCTGCTTTTTGGCTACTGTACACATTTGTGTACACATAAGGTTTTCAGTTCTTGTGGGTATATATCTAGGATTAGAATTGCTGGAGCATATGGTAATTCTCTGTAACATTTTGAGAAACTGCTGGATTGTTTTCCATGTGTATTGCATCAGTTCACATTCCTACCAGCATGTGTGAGGGTTTCGTTTTGTTCACATCCTTGCCAATACTTGTTATTATCTGTCTTTTTGATTATAGTCATCCTAGTGGGTAAGAAGTGGTATCTCATTGTCATTTTGATTTGTATTTCCTTTGTGCATAAAGATGTTGAATGTTTTTCATGTGATTATGGCTCATTTTGTATATAATATGTTGAAGAAACATCTTTTCAGATCCTTTGTCTATTTTAAAATTGGATTATCTTTTTATTATTGAATTATAAGAGTTCTTTTTAGTTAATTAATTTAACACTTTTAGAGACAGGATCTTACTCTGTTGACCAGGTGGGCTTTGAAGTCCTGGGCCCAAGTAATTCTCTGGCATTAGCCTCTTGAGTAGCTAGGATCACATGGGTGTACCACTGTGCCTGACTTATATGAGGTCTTTCTATAGATTCATGTTCCTCATCAGATATATGATTTACAAATATTTTCTTTCATTTCTTCACTTTTAATCTCTTTGTAATGTTTTAGGTCTATCTTTTGTAGACAGTGTATAGGGGATTCGTCATTTAAAATCTAATTATAGGGTCCCTGTCTTTTAGATGGCAAGTTTATTCTCTTTACATTTATTGTAATAACAAGATATGTGGTGGATTTCTGCTGTCTTATTTTATACTTTATATTTTCCTTCTCTTTTCTCCTCTTTCCTCTTTTCCTGGCATCTCTTGGATTGATCAAATTTGCTTTATATCTATATATTTTTTATATCTCCTCTTTTCCCCCTCAACTCATTTGGAAGGCTTATAGTCAATTCTATTCTGTACTCTTAAATTTTTCTGAATAATATGAGGACTTTAGATAGCTTTAGTTCGAACTCACTTCCCTTTCATCTGCCATGTTGCTATTGCCCAGTATTTTAGTTTCAGTTTGTTTTTACTTTCCCAAATTTGTTGTTATGCTTATTTCTAAATCTTTAATCCTTTTTTAGATCTCCTCACATTCTTAACAGTTTGTGTTTGCTTATTTGTTCATTATTGCTTCATTCAAATCCTTCCTAAAGCACACCTTTAATGGTGCTTTCGGCACATTTTTGGGAATGGTAAATTCTCTCACTGTTTGTTAGTTCTTTTACTCTTGAATAGTTATTACAATTCTAGATGGGATAGGGATCTTCCCTCAGCACTTTGAAGATACTCTTCCTTTTTTCTTTGGCATTCATTATGCCAAGAAGGCTACTGAGAAGCTGAGAAGGCTGCTGTTGGTGTAATTGCTGCTCCTGTGTAGGAAATTTCTCATTTCTATCTTTTCTCACATAGAAAAACTGCATTTAAGACATTCTCTTTGTCTTTGGTGATATGTGGCTTCACTACAATGGAGGGTATTTTTGTTTTGTTTTTAGAGTGAAGTTTTTAATTATCTTGTGTGTGACTCACTGTGATTCTTAAAGCTGAATATTTATGTTCTGCATCAATTGTGGGAAAATTCTCATTCGCTCGTTGAATATTTTCTTTGCCCCCATTATGTTTATTTCCTCCTTCTGGAATTCCTATTACTCATTGATTGGTTCATTCATCCAACTAACATATATATATATATATGTATGAAGCCTGCTGAGTATCAGATGCTGTCCCAGGCACTGGGGACACAAGCAGTGAACCAAAACAGCTGAAAGCTTCATTCATGGAGTTTGTATTCCAGTGTAGAATACAGGCAATCAACAATAAACAAAAATATGTGTTGTTCAACCACAGACTCCAAATGCTCTGGGGAAGAAAGCAGAGTACAAGGTTAGCAAAAGATGGGGGCTGACACAGTTTTTATAGCTTGTGCTTCCTTTTTGTTTATTTATCTGCCAGGCTTTTTGAGTAATCCTTGGATCAAGCTTCCATGTATATTTTCTTTGCACAGCTGTTTTTTAAACCATTCCCATTTGTATTATTTTGCATGGCTGTGTCACAAGTTACTGCATACATAGTAGCTTAAAACAGCACTCAGCACGAGCTCACAGTTGTGCGGGGCCGACGCCTGGAGTGGTGTTTTTGGGTGTTCTGCTGAGGATATCACAAGGTTGAGGACATCAAAGTATCGACTAGGTTAAGTTCTCATCTGGAGGCCCTGGGGAAAAGTCCACATCCATGCTCACTCTTTCTTGTTGGCAGAATTCAGTTCCATGAGGCTGGAGGACTGAGGTCCCATTTCCTTGCTGGCTGTCAGCTGGATGCATTTTCGGCCGCATTCCTGCCATGTAGTATGGTCTGTCTTCAAGCCAGCAATGGTGAACAGAAACCCTTCCATGCTTCGAATATCTGACTTCCTTTTCTGTGACTGGCCAGAGAAAAGGGCTCATGTGGTCAGGTTAGGCCTACTCAGGTCCTCTCTCGATTTTAAGCTCACCTGTGCCACAAAACGGAAGCTGCTCTAGGGAGTCCAGTCCATCCTCTTCACTGTCCAGGGGTTTTTGCAGGGCATGGACACCAAGGGCCAGAAGTCTTGGATCACATCTTAGAATTCTGCAATTAAAATGTCAATGATTGTGCATTTCATTTCTTCTATTTTTTTTCTTGAGACGGAGTCTTGCTCTGTCACCCAGGCTAGAGTACAATGGCGTGATCTTGGCTCACTACAGCCTCTGCCTCCCGGGTTCAACCGATTCTCCTGCCTCAGCCTCCCTAGTAGCCAGCATTATAGGCATCCACCACTACACCGGGCTAATTTTTTTTTTTTTTTGAGACGGAGTTTCGCTCTTGTTACCCAGGCTGGAGTGCAATGGCGTGATCTCGGCTCACCGCAACCTCCGCCTCCTGGGTTCAGGCAATTCTCCTGCCTCAGCCTCCTGAGTAGCTGGGATTACAGGCACGCACCACCATGCCCAGCTAATTTTTTGTAGTTTTAGTAGAGACGGGGTTCACCATGTTGGTTAGGCTGGTCTCAAACTCCTGACCTCAAGTGATCTGCCCACATTTCTAAAAATTTTATCTGTTTATTTCTAGTTTTGAGGGAGTCTTATTCTTTCCCTGTGGATTCTCTTCCTTCTTTTTCTTTTTTCTCTGTCTTTGGTCACTCTAGATATATTTATTTTAGAGCAAGCTTTTTCAGTCTGTGGCCCATGGGCCAGATGTGGCCCAGGATGGCTTTGAATGTGGCCCAACACAAATTCGTAAATTTTCTTAAGACATTTTGAGATTTTTTTGGTGATATATATAACCGATGTGTATATATCATATATGATTCTCTCTCTCTCTGTATGTAATATATATGTATTTTAGCTCATCAGCTGTCATTAGTGTTTAGTGTATTTTATGTATGGCCCAAGGCCATTCTTCTTCCAGTGTGGCCCAGGGAACCCAAAAGATTGGACACCCCTGTTTGAGCGTCTCTGACGCTGTCCTATTGCCCCAGGGTGCTGGTCTGCTTCCTGTGTGCCTGCTGGTGGGGGTATCATTGTTTTCTGGGTTTGGATTGGTGCATCCTTGGGCAACTTTTATCTGTAGGAGCCCCGTGTCCTCTGGGGAGTGGGAGTGTCCCCCTCTTTTGCTTCTGGTGGCTCAGGCCAGGAGGCTTCACAGGCAGTCTTGTCCTGGGAGCAGTTTTATGACGCTGTCTCTGCGTAGGGTGGTCCAGTTCAGATACCACCCACATGAGGATGAGGCTTTGGGTATGGGTTCCTGATGGGAGACCTTCTTTTCTTTGATCCCATGGTGGAGACGGGCCTTCTCACTCCCATGGCTGGTGGCAAGAACTTTCCTTCACAGAGACCATGGTATCGGAGGCCGTTGGTATCATGCCAGTTCTCTGCATCTTTTGGGCTTGAGGCCTCACCTGTCCTGCCTGGGTGTCGAGACACAGCCAGTTCTAAGCTCTCCAGGCCTCTTCCTGGTGTCTGATCACCCCAGCCTGGGGCACCGGATGCCGGCTCCTGCCTCTCTAGCTTCAGTTTCCCCTTCCTTCCTGTCACCTGGTGATTTCCTTCTCTTCTTGGGAACTCATCTTCTGTGGGCTTTTTATTTTTCTGGAAACAGGCTTTTGCTCTGTCACTCAGGCTGGAGTGCAGTGGTGGGATCCCAGCTCATGGGAGCTTTGACCTTCTAGGCTCAGCAGTCCTCCCGTCTCAGCCTCCTGAATAGCTGGGACCATAGGCGTGTGCCACCAAGCCCAGCTAATTTGTTGTATTTTTTTGTAGAGATGGGGTCTCACTATGTTGCCCAGGCTGGTCTTGAACTCCTGGTCTCAAGTGATCCTCCCGCCTTGGCCTCCCAAAGTGCTGGGGTTACAGGCTTGAGCCACTGCACCCGGTTGAGGGGAGTTCTTTTTGGTGTCAGCTGTTGGACTCTGCAGAACATGTGAATGGGTAGGGTTCTTCGGTGGAAAACCAGCAGCCCAGAGTCCTCTCTGCTTTCTGGGACCCCGCCCCACACCGTGAACCTTCTTGTCTTGCAGAGGAGGTGCTTCCTGAGAAGGAGAAGATCCTGGACAAGCTGGAGCTGAGCTTAATCCACAGCAGAAGGGATGGTGCTGACCTCAGGCCAGGTCTGGGGCTCTTCTCTGTTCTCTGCCCATGCCCTGTGGTCCCTTGAGGGTGCCCTCTGGACACTGTTCAGCCTCCCACAGTCTCCGAGGCACCGTCCCCTTGGCCCCAGGCCTGATTGGAGCTAGCATCTGGGAGTCTGGACTTGCCAGCCCCTCAGAGCGAATGCCAGGGGACAGGCTCCCCTCCTCTCCCCTGAGCCCTGCTGTGCCCAGCTGCTGAGAGAGAGGAGGCTGGTTATAGAGCCTGGCCTGGGGGATTTGGGACTCAGCCAGAAGCTTTGCATACCTCTAGGCACTGGAATGTTCTGGAACACTTGTCCTCAGATCAGCCCCCTCAGGCAGCTCTGCGTCTTTGAACTTGAGCTGTACTTTCATAACACTCTCCTGCCTTGCTCCTGGGTGGTCCTGATGTGCTGGGGGAGGAGCACTGGGCTTGGAGCAACCTCCCTGCTCAGGACGCAGAGAGGGACCGTTGGCTTGTTAAAAACCCTTCTGCGTGGCGAGCCCCCTGAGGACAAGGAGATGCTCTTTCTACTTGCCTCCTGGGTCCCCAGTGCTTGGCAGAGAGAGGCCCTGGGCACTGCTTTTGGGATGGATGAATGAATGTGATGTATCCCCAGCAGATGACAATAAGGCTGAGGAGAAGGAGCCCATTGAAACACAGCAAAATGGTGACAAAGAGGAAGAGGACGAGGGGAAGAAGGAGGACAAGAAGGGGAAATTCAAGTTCATGTTCAACATTGCGGATGGGGGCTTCACAGGTACTGGGGCTGGGGGTGGGCAGAGAGCTGAGGCTTCCTGACTGTGGATCCCAGGAGTCTAGACCAATGGTAACTTTATACTAGAGTGTGACTGGTTGCTAAAAGTCCATTGTATAACCTTTCTTAGCAACACTGGCTCACTGGACCTCTATGGGTGGAGGCAGGGGCAGGGAGGGAGGGAGCGGCTGTCCAGTCCTGCCCGCGTGTCACAGCCGGGGCACTTCTCATCCTGCTCACCTTGGCTGTTTTCCCAGAGTTACACACGCTGTGGCAGAATGAGGAGCGGGCTGCAGTGTCCTCGGGGAAAATCTACGACATCTGGCACCGGCGCCACGACTACTGGCTGCTGGCGGGCATTGTGACGTATCCTTAGTCAGGCCGGGCTGGGCAGGCACTCACCTGTTCTTCTGTGGACCTTGGGCAGAGCGCTCTCAGGGCTCCAGGGAAGCCTTCCTTGTTCTTCCTCACTCTTCCATGCTCTTCCTCGATTCTGGCAGTGGCTAGGAATCCTTGGCATTGCTGTGTCGCCGCTGTCATCACGGCTTCTTCCCTGTGTGTCTCTGGGTCCACATTTCCCTCTTTTTTTTTTTTTGAGATGGAGGTTTACCCTGTTGCCCAGGCTGGAGTGCAGCGCCTCAATCTCAACTCACTGCAACCTCTGCCTCCCAGGTTCAAGTGATTCTCCTGCCTCAACCTCCTGAGTAGCTTGGATTACAGGTATCTGCCACCACCTCTGGCTAATTTTTGTATTTTTGGTAGAGACGGGGTTTCATCATGTTGGCCAGGCTGGTCTCGAACTCCTGACCTCAAGTGATCCACCCGCCTCGGCCTCCCAAAGTGCTGGGATTACAGGCATGAGCGACTGTGTGCAACCTTTTTCTTTCTTTCTTTCTTTCTTTTTTTTTTTGTGATGGAGTCTCGCTCTGTGGCTCAGGCTGGAATGCAGTGGTGTGATCTCAGCTCACTGCAGCCTCCACCTCCCAGGTTCAAGTGATTCTTCTGCCTCAGCCCCTCGAATAGCTGAGATTGAGGTGTGCACCACCACGCCTGACTAGTTTTTGTAATTTTAGTAGAGACGGGGTTTCGCCATATTGGTCAGGCTGGTCTCAAGCTCCTGGCCTCAGGTGATCCACCTGCCTTGGCCTCCCAAAGTGCTGGGATTACAGGCGTGAGCCACCGTGTCCAGCCCCAAATTTTACTCTTCTTATGAGGATACCAGTCACTGGGTTTGGGGCCCACCCTCATCAGGTATGACCCTTTCTTAACTTGATTACATCTGCAAATACCCTCTTTCCAAAAAAGGTACCCATTCTCAGGTGCTGGGGCAGCACTTAAACATATCACCCAGGTTGTTGGGTAAAGAGTTAACCCTCTGAAGCCCCGGGCTGTGGCTGGTGTGCCCAGGGCACCCGTCAGTGTCTGCTGATGCTGTCGCTGTCCTGTTGTCGATATGCTCATCTAGCAGCCGGGCTTGAGGACTCACCTGAGAGTGTACAGCCAGGATACTGACCCCCGGCTGGCCCCTCCCCCTGCCCAAGTTGCCTCCTCCTGCGGCCCCATCTCTTCTCATGGCCAGGTTTGTCCTTAACAGTGCCCCACCCAGGCACGGCTACGCTCGCTGGCAGGACATCCAGAATGACCCGAGGTACATGATCCTCAACGAGCCCTTCAAGTCTGAGATTCACAAGGGCAACTACCTGGAGATGAAGAACAAGTTCCTGGCCCGCAGGTTCAAGGTTAGTTTTCTGCAGGGCCAGGGGCTACAAGCAGGGGGGAGAGACGGGTGTCAGGAGGGTCCTGGGCAAAGGAATTAGAGAGCAGCCACCCCCGCCACATACCTGGGTCACACTGCCACGAAGCAGTCAGTAAGTCCATCAACTAACAGTGGTGGCTCCTTGCTCTGGCCCCGGCTGGGGAGCGTCTGCTGCCCTGGGTTGATGGGTACAGAGAACCCAGCTTGGTGACCGCTCCAAGAGTTGGCCACCACCAGGCCAGGGTGGGCAGCAGACGGGAGTATGTCCTGTTTCCCTCCTTTCTGCTGGGAGCCTTGGCCTGGTGTGGGTGCTGATGGAGGATGGAGGGTGGCCATTCAGGGGGAGGGGCTGGGCCAACACTGTCCCCTGCCCCCAGCTGCTGGAGCAGGCGCTGGTCATTGAGGAACAGCTCCGGAGGGCTGCCTACCTGAACATGACCCAGGACCCCAACCACCCCGCCATGGCCCTCAATGCCCGCCTGGCTGAAGTAGAGTGCCTTGCCGAGAGCCACCAGCACCTGTCCAAGGAGTCCCTTGCTGGGAACAAGCCTGCCAATGCCGTCCTGCACAAGGGTGAGTGAGCCCTGCCCCCCGCGGTGTGGCCCATGCAGCTTCCTCCTGCCTGGTGAGCGCTCTTGGCTGTAGGTAAGGGGGCTCTGGGGTAGGGGCTGGGGACAGATGTCAGCCCAGAGTATGGTAGACTTCTGGGCCAGTATGGGATGGTCCTGTCATCAGACTCCTCATCTCCCCTGCAGGGAAACTGAGGCTGCTTGCTTCTCCAGCCTGTTTCTCAAGCCTGCTCTGTGCAGGCCCTGGCCCAGACTATCAACACAGAAAACCGCGAAACTGCAAAGGCTTCTGAGTCCTGACAGCATGCCTAAAATGCATTGTGTCTTTTTTTTTTGTTTTTTTGAGATGGAGTTTCACTCTGTCGCCCAGGCTGGAGTGCAGTGACTCAATCTCGGCTCACTGCAACCTCTGCCTCCTGGGTTCAAGCAATTCTCCTGCCTCAGCCTCCCGAGTAGCTGGGACTACAGGCAATGCTGCCACACCCGGCTCATTTGTTGTATTTTAGTAGAGATGGGGTTTCACTGTGTTGGCCAGGCTGGTGGTGAACTCCTGAGCTCAGGCAGTGTGCCCGCCTCAGCCTCCAAAAGCTCTGGGACCACAGGCGTGAGCCACCGCACCCAGCCTCGTTGTGTCTTTAGCCCTGGCAACACCCGTCGGCCTGGAGCCCTCTCACCGGCCCTGTGCGGGAAGGGAGGACTCTGGCTGAGATCTCCGTCAGTTCAGACCTCTGGTGCTTGCTGCACATCTCTGCTGGGTCACGGGGCACACTTCTGCCCTCGGGGGTCCCGGCTGGCTGTGGGAGGGTGGCCCTGTGGCGAGAGTTGCTGGACCCATCCCCATGCCCTGCAGTCCTCTCTGGTGTGCTCCGACCCTCTGCCTAGCTGGGCCTGGGACTGCAGGCCTCCCCGAGGACTCTTGGGAGGGAAGCCCTGTGTCGGCCGGTGTTTCTGGCTTGCTCGTCTACAGCCTGGGGGCCCCTGTCCAGCCCAGAGGGACCCCTAGGAGGAGTTCTTTGGAAGCCCCTGTTGTGTCTCCACTTGGCAGCGCTACTTGGCAGCGCTGCCTGGCAGCCTGGGAGGGCCTGGTGCACAGCACCCCCTGGTGCCCACTTCTGGCCGAGTGCAGTCATACACCCTTGCAAATAAGCCCCAGCTCTCGTGCTGCATCCCTGGCACAGCCCTCCATCCCTCCACTCCTCCATCCCTCCATCATCCCTCCATCCCTCCATCCCTCCACCCCTCCATCCCTTCATCATCCCTCCATTCCTCCATCCCTTCATCCCTCCATCCCTCCATCATCCCTCCATCCCTTTACCTCTCCATTCCTGCACCCCTTCATTCCCCCATCCCTCCATCATCCCCCATCCCTCCATCATCCCCCATCCCTCCATCATCCCTCATCCCTCCATCATCCCTCCATCCCTCCGTCATCCCTCCATTCCTCTGTTATCCCTCCATCATCCCTCCATCCCTCCATCATTCCTCCATCCCTTCCTCATTCTTCCATCCCTCCGTCATCCCCCATCCCTCCATCATCCCTCCATCTCTCCATCATTCCTCATCCCTCCCTCATCCCTCCATCCCTCCCTCATCCCTTCATTCTTCCATCGTCCCTCCATCCCTTTACCTCTCCGTTCCTGCACCCCTTCATTCCTCCACCCCTCCACTCCTCTATCCCCTCCATCATCCCCCATCCCTCCCATCATCCCTCCATCATCGCCATCTCTCCATCATCCCTCCATCATCCCCCATCCCTCCATCATCCCTCATCCCTCCATCATCCCTCCATCCCTCCATCTCTCCATCATCCCTCCATCCCTCCATCATCCCCCATCCTCCATCATCCTCCATCCCTCCATCATACCCCCACCCCTCCACCCCTCCACCCCTCTACCCTTCCACCCC